TTACTAAAATAAAAGGCTTTATTTATTATCTAATTGTATGGAAATCTGTTCTGATTTTATGGTACGTACTACAAATTGTGCACCCGTGTTCAGGAGCTACTTAACGGGCAACCTCTGTGGAAATGACTCATTTAGTGCTTCTGTCCCGTGCATACGGTATGTAATTTTATTACATATACTAGAAAATTGTGCACCCCGTGCATCGCACGGGCTCTATACTAATAAATGACCTTAAAATTGTGCACCCCGTGCATCACCCATGTTCACATTTTGGCCTATTACAGGTCACATATTATATATATCCCGTACATTTTTTTATTTATTTATATAATTATAAGAATGAATAAATGACCTTAAAATTGTACACCCCGTGCATCGCACGGGCTGTGTACTAGTTGTATTAAAATGAATAGAGGAAAAATTGCCCAACCGGAGCCACCGACCGAACGAGCACTGTTAATGCTAAAATCACGGCGGTGAGAAATGATGTGGCTCTCTGAAAATCTCCTCAAAACATCTCATCAGCCGCCGGTTTTCTCTCTCTCTCTCTCTTTCTCTCTCTTCTCCCAAATGTCTCTGACGGCCACCGCCGTGGTTACACTCGTTAATCACACAACACGGAGCTCGGAGAAACCCAGGTTTCCATCTTTCGCCTCCCATCTATTAACTACCAACAGGGCCTCGCGCTTCAGCCGGTATAAAGCGCCCCTAAAGAAAATCTCTCATTACCATTACCTCTCCGGCCTCAAATTTCGGCTACCCATTTCGCCTGTCATGGAATGGCAAGATTGCACGTAATTTTCTCAAATTTTTCCCCCTTAAAATGTTGCAAGATTGTTCTCTTTTTTCCCTTTTACAGCTTTAATTGAGTTTATGAGTAATAAAGATTACATTTTTATTTTAGAATTGGGATCCGAATATCCGATTGCCTGTTGCAGGGTGAGAAAGGAGGTGGATGTGCCAGTTTCAGTTGCTTATGATTGTTACTCTGATCGTGAGGCTATTCCTCAGTGGATGCCGTTCATTTCATCTGTTAAGGTAAGGTAACCAATTCAATGTTTTGACCTCCATTGATTTGCATAAGCAATTTTATTCCTGTAAATTTTGTCATGTAATCATATCTGCGGGAATTCGATCATGTATGAAAGGACAATGTGTTTCAGACTTTCAGTTAAGACAAAAGTACGACATTTCATTGCATACGTACATACTTTTGTTAAAAAAGGTATGTCTGGTCGACCCACTTATCGGTTAGGCCACCTCATACAACAATTTGTGATTCTGGTTAGGGGTTCGGTTATCTACACTGAGATTTTCATTGACAAATTAGAAGCATTTAAGTTGCTTCTAATTGAAGGACCATCATTTATGTAATTACATCTAACATTTCTTGAATTTTCCAAATCTGAAATTCTGATGCTAGTTCTGTGTTTTTTCTAGATTCTGGAAGATAAGCCTGATCTATCACGTTGGTCACTGAAGTATGAAGCATTCGGCCGCGATATTGAATTCTCGTGGCTTGCTCGTAATATGCAGGTAGGTGTTAAAGAAAAAAATCAGGATTGGTCCCAATAGATTTCGATATCCTATCCTATCACGTTGATTTACAGAATTGACGGTTTTCTCGTTTTTCTTTGCAGCCTATAAAGAACCAGAAAATCCACTGGAGATCTATGGAGGGTCTTCCTAATAGGTAGCAGAAATTTTTCATGATGGGCTTTATCTTGTGTATGGAACTTAATTTTGCAAATTTTATTGCAGGGGAGCTGTAAGGTTTTTCCCAAAAGGTGCTTCTGCTTGTACAGTAGAAGTATGGCTTCAAAAACTATCCACTTTAGCTTTCTCAGTTTGTTTTTGTTATTTTTCGTATTAGTTCATTTCTTCTTGGTTGCATCTGCACGGTGCATCTTAGTTTTGAAATCATCGACAAATGAACAACTAAAATTTTGATCATAATCCAGTTAAATGTAAGAATTGTGGAAAACTAGCATGATTCAGCACCTAAAATTTAATTGAATAAATTGTGAGCATGTTGATATACTGTGAACAATTTAAGCAGTTTGAAAATCTGAATAGGCCCTCACATTTGATTTCCTTGTTTTTTCAGCTCACTGTTTCATATGAAGTTCCTCAGCTGCTGGCTCCGGTGGCATCTGTATGTACTCATTATTTCTGCAAAACCACGGCACACAGTTTTTTTTTTTTTTAATGAAAATTGTTTTTTTATTGAATAATATATAGTTTGTCAAGACAAATGTTTAATCTATCATATGCTCAATCTAATTTCACCATATTCTGCACTTTTTTAGGCTTTGCAGCCTTTTCTTGAAAGCTTGCTCGCTCGTGGATTGGAACGGTTTGCAACATTTGCTAAAACCTACTCGGCTAAATCGACCACGTAATTATCACGTGAGCGAGTTTATTTGTTCATCCTAATTTCTTTCACATGCGAACTGAGAAAAATTGGAGGAATTTGGAAGTAACATTTGTACCTTGTAAAGATGAATGCTATAATATATGAAGAGTTTTTGAAGACTGCTGCTTTTTCTCCATTCTGTCTTCTGCATAATTTGCTGCAGCACATTCAAGCATTATTTATGTTCTTATTGAAAACCAGTGCATAATTTAGTTTCTTTTGTGCTATATAATCAAAAGGTTGACATGTAGGTAGAAGCGTAAAAGAGACCAGCCGCGCTCGACTGCTCGAGCTTTGGCTTTCAAATCTTAATTCATCTGGTCTCATTCCAAAACTTGAACCACTTGTTGAAATTTTACTATTTCACATAGAAAACAATGTAAACGTGTAAAACTTGAGTTGAATTTGATGGTGATGATTCTGAATTGAGAAGCATTCCCTCCAATTGACAAATTGTATTCAAGCAATAAAAATGATTGAAAGGATCAAATGATTTCATAATATGGGTTGGGTCAAACACGTCGGTGACCATATATACGATTATGTTTATTGTTTACTCATTAATCCCATAATAATAATAATAATAATAATAATAATAATAATAATAATAATAATAATAATAATATGCCTTTCTTGATCAAAG